CCGGGTGAGCAGTCTGTTGTTTACTGATAGCGGTGTAAAGTTCCTTCATAGCAGCTTTTGCATCGGCATCAGGGGGGATGTAGGCTGCAGTTACAATAGTGGAGCTGAGCTCCCTTGGCTGATAGAAAGGTCTACATTTAACCATGAGAAACTCAAGGTTAGCTTGTACACCAGCTTTGTTAATATAGATGCACAGCCCTCCTCCTCTGGTCTTACCGGAGTCCTCTGCTGTTCTGTCTGCCCGGAGTGTGTGGCGACCGGCTAGCTTGATAGCATCGTCCGGTACTCCGTTGTTTAGCCATGTTTCCGTGAAGATCATGACATTACAGTCCATAAGTCGAGGAAAATGCTGGGTAACGGGAGACGGTGCGGTGTTAGCTTTAGCTTTAACTGTATATTTCCTTTCAAGAACAGCCAAATAAACAAAGCTGTGCTTGAGTATTAGCTCTACAAGCAATACATACATACATTTAAACACATTGTTTAAAATAGGCACTTAATATCATGTCAAAACTAGACGGTGTTACCTTATTTGTAGATCAGATATGTGTCACATCAGGAGAATGCTAATGATGTTTTAATGAGGCCATGTCGCACTCTGAGAGATGCTCCTCATCTGTGCTGCAGAGAAATATACTTGAAGTAATCAATGTAGATCTATAGCTGTCAGGGTTATGAGAGACTTTGATTTAGCCTTCTAACACGTCAACTAGTCTTTAACATGACTTGATACCTCCACCCATCCACTGTCTGATGGCTGTGTGTTGCTTGAATTGCAGTCTTACGATGTTTTATTAAAAAATATATTTTCTATGTAATAAGGCAGCAGCATGTTTTTATTTTGTCACTGACATGTAAAATATATTGATAATCAATGTGCCAGAGTGCGAGTGAAAGCCAAACGCAACCACAGATGCAGATTTTCAACAAGCAAAGAAGCAAGCAATATTTTTACATTTCAAATAAACATCAGTCACACCACTACTTTAGTTGATACAGAAAGCTGTTTAGTAGGGAAACAGTTGTGAACACAATGCTGTTTCGCGAGTCGTTTCATGTGAATGACTTTAAATGTCTAGTAGAAGTTCCCCATGTCCATCAGAAAGAAGGCATAGTGACATTTCTGATAAATCGTTATATGTAAACAAATCCCTGCAGTATCTCAGTCAGCTTTCGAGATTTTCGGTGTGAATTGCCTAAGACGCTAAAACAACTTTTCATTTAGCGACCACACCCTGAAACATGTCAATCATCACACCTCAGACTGAGTCCCGCCCAGGCGTTTCCCCTCAGGGCTACTGACAAAAAACAACTTCACAATGTAGTAAATATTCTCTGTACCAACAACTGATTCACTTCACTTTGAGCTAAATATTACTCAGGAAGAGACAACAGTCACAAGTAGCACAAGTTTCAAGATCTGCCATTATGGCTTTGGCGCTATCTGGTGGCAGAAGAATATGTTGAAGTAGTTTCAAGCAGGGACAAGGTGTGGGAAATGTAATGAAAGGTATTTTCATGAGGGCTTTTCTTAGTTAACATATCTTTGTGTATTTCTCTCTCTCTCTCTGCAGCACAATGAGTGCAGATGGAAAAAAGCAACTCCCTCCCTACATCATACCAGGTAAACGTAAACACAAGCGAGCACATTGTTACAATCATTGTTGTTGGACTGCCTCACTGACTCAATCTTGTCTTTGGTCAAGTAGAAGGTCAAGGTCAAGGGGATGGAGTGACGGTTTACAAGGTCCACAGCCCCTTCGATTTTCAGAACGACAGGCCCAACGCGGGTAATGTCCAGCAAGGTAAACACACACCTGAAGTAACACTCTCCTAAAGACACTAGTCAAAAACTGAAGTTTATTTTCTTATAAACACTTTACTGACCCCTCCCCCATCCCTTTATCTCTCTGACTCTACCAGTCTTCACCAGCGGAGGCGGAGGTGTTGGTTCAGGTCTGGAAAGTGGTGATGGCAAAAGACGGTTTGTGAGCGATTCAGCACTCGGGGATTCTCCAGGAATGACGTCCTGCACGTCCTGCCAGCAACAGGTCATGACCAATGTCACCTACAAAGCAGGGACGTACGCCTGGCTCATGTGCTTACTCTTCATCTGCTGCGGGTGAGTGTGCGCTTCTGGATTGCTTGTCATAGTTTGCCCATCTTCCTGATCTTGTAATTATGAGATAATATGTGTAATTTTATTTTATTTGGTGAATGCAATGCGCTTTCCGTTTACATTACCTACAAATTATAGTGAAAAATATGTGTGCATATGAAGAATAGACCAACTCATGCAGACAGCAGTGGAAGCTAACTTTGCCTCAGTGTCTAAAAAGTGAAATAAAAAACAAAACATGTCTTCTGCAGTGCTACATGACGCTAACAGTGCATTGTACGTGTGTTGTAGGTTAATCCTGTGCTGCTGCCTGATTCCCTTCTTCATGAAGAGGTTCAAGGACGCGTACCACACATGCCCCCGCTGCAATAGAGTGCTGCATGTGGAGAAGAGGAAATGCTGTAAATAAATGATGAGCATGAGGGGCAGAAATGGACCCATAGAAATATGAAATAACATCCTGTTACCTCTGTCTGTGTTAGGGGTGTTCATGTTTATTTCTATGGATGTGCAGTGGCATAAGTCTATCTGATATCATACATTATATTATCTGCAAACAGACTGGGAGTGATTGTATTGTCAAAAGCTCTGACAAGTTAAATCGAGCACGCCCTTTTTGCACTTTTTGTAAGCATTTTTTTTTTTTGTCTCAGCAGAAAAAAACTTGTTAATCTTCTCAGAAATATATGCATACATGATGTTATTAAAATGAAGGCTTGTACATACACTTCAACAAATATTCTATTTTTAAAGGGATTGTGGATTTGATGTAAAACAGACCAGTCTCCTATTTTAAGGTATAAAACAGTCCTAAAAAAAAAAAAAGAAGCCAACGCCAACGAAAAAAACTAGAGACCTTATTGTTAGTCAAAAATTAAACGTAGACAATATTTAAATCCAGTGTGACTCCTTTTATATTATATTTATATGTTTACACCTCATTTAACTCTTTTATTCTAACATTATGGGATGACGGGTGACGTGAGTGAGCAGTAAATTCAAAGAAAAGTTTATATAAAGCACAGCAGTGGAAGGATGTAGAAATAATTATCTTTAGCTCGATCTTTACCTCTGAAGAAAGATGTCACTGATGCATAACAATGCAAAGAACAATGCAATATTAAAGCAAGACTACACAATGATGGGATGTGTTCAGTGGCAGTCAGCGTATTTGTTGAGCCATCGATCAAGACGCTGAATTTTTTTAAATCCTCTCGATGACCATCTCTGTGTTGAACTAACATCTACGAAGAAATACAATATTTTTTTTTTGTCTGATTGCTTCGTTGTTCTAGCGTGTATGAAAAAGATTTCAAGAAAGCAGGAAAATTGTTATGTGGGATGTGACTCGTCTGCACATTTTCCACTAAATGAAACCTAGTATGGTTGGACTTCTGTTATGTGCTATTATTATCTATTTTATATCATTATTTCCTTAATAAAAGTACACTAGATGATATATGACAGACGGTTGTGTTGTTTCTCTGTTTGTCTTCTTCCTAGCCGTCCAGAATACAGATTATTTCATAAAGTAAATTATTCTAGTGAGCATTACTGCTACTATCTGCATGTTAGCATTTAGGATAGTTTTTCCTAAGCCAGCTGTGTGTAGTCTTCTGATGTTTGATGAATCACATGTTCACCTCGAGTAACAAGGCAGCATGAGCACTCTTCACAAGTTTCTCTGACTTCTTCAGAAAACATGTTCCATCCTGAAGCATGCTGCATGGCTCTACAATTAAAATTAAAAAGCTTCATTGAACATGAGCAAGTCTTAGACTACTGGGAAGATTCTTAAAATAAATTTAAGGATAACTAAAGGTAACAGGGATCATTTTTCTCCCCATGCCAGTAGCATGTGACGTAAACTAAAAGGTAAAGTTCCTGACCAAAGAGTCCAACAGTCTTGGAAACACTTCATTGCTTTGTGGCTAAAAGTTAAAGGTAATATATATATATATATTTTTTTTTATGTTTGTCTCTCATTTAGAAGCTAGCTGCCCCCAACAGCCAATTAGCTTAGTAAACACAGGTTAGAACCAGAGACTGTACATATTAATGGACGACACCTGAGTGAAGTCACCGTTGGGCTGCAGGAGGCATCGACGGTAGTGGTAATGCTTGAAATGCTCTCAGTCAAGCTAACGACAGGCTAAGAGCTGAGACAGGTTTGAAGCCTCTGGATGAACCGTTACATCGTGCCCGCCTGTTCAGTTCCACGCCATTATGGCGAATAATGCTTATCCAGCATGAAATCAAAATAGATGAGTTATCAAAAGTCACTCCTTGTACAGTGTGTTCCAGAGGAGACCTGAGCTAATCAAACCTTATTTGGTTCTTTGTACCAGGCTGTAAACATGTTGATTGCTGCTGTATAAGCCGGCTGTTTTGTCTTGGTGCGTATGTGACATCGAGTACTTCTGCAGCCAGCCTCAAGCGGACACTGGATGAACTGCAGGATTTTGCACATCCACATTGGCTTCATTTTCCAACACCGGAGGTTGCTACAGGGAACTATCTAGGTATTTTTCTTGGCTGAGGTTTGGCTCATTAACAGCCAGAGACACATTTTAATTTACACTTGTAAGGATAAGCCAAATTAGACATTGGAGAATAATTGGGGAGATCTTGAGGTCCTGGAAGGTAGCTTTTGAAACCTTTGGAAAGAGCAAGGCTAGCTGTTTCCCCCGGCTTCAAATTACGATTTTAAAGCTATTCTACTTGCATACCGGCTTTTATTTTACATTGCAACAAACCGACAAAAGTTCAGCATGAATCCTCTCATTCTACTATCCACCACCAGACAATAGTACATCTTGAAAAGTCAAACTTTCCCTTCAAGTTGTTGAGGTCGAACACTAGTATGGACAAGCAGCAGTGCTTTAGGTTTTATAGAAAATTTTATTCAACATACATTTTCCAGCAAAAGGCAATATACAGGAATAGTTGTCGTACACTGCTGCTACACTGAGGATTTTAAACTGGAAAAGATCAAATTAGGTGTGATTCTGCAGGTCATCTTTGTACTGCACTTTTTAACAAGACAAAACCAATGCAGTTAGTTTTTAAAGAAAAAAAAAAAAGAAATTCCAAATGTAACAGAAAAAAATCGTCAATGGTACATCAGGAACGCAAAGAAAAAGAGAAAACCCTACACACAAGAAATATGAACACCTGGCTCCTTCTGTACCCAACAACAAAGGCGTGTGTTTCTCTTAAATTTTACACGTTCATATTTTTAAATATACAATTCGTAAGTGTTGTTTTTACAGAGCCAGCTATGCGCTATTGGGGGGAGCATTCCATCTGTGCTTTTAAAAAAATAAACAAAAATAATAAATTCATAGGGCTTTAAGTGTTTCATTACAATGCTGGTTTTTGTCTCTAAACGATCCTCAAACCTGCAGGCTCGAAGTGACAGCAGCTCCCTACCAAGCACAGCACAGTTACTGCCCCAAAATCACCCGGAGGCGACAGTTTCAATCAAGAGAGGAGATGTCAAAGCTCATTAATGATTGTGGTCAGAGGAGGAATGACTGAGAAAGACATTAAACCCCCTGAAAAAAAAAGAGAAGCAAATAAAGAAAGATGGAAGAGTAAGTCAAGGGGGGGGTCATGTCCATGCATGTGTGTTCCTTCGAAGTTACAGAGCAACTCAAAAACACAACCAAACTGTACATTTGCCAGTCCTGAGAAACCTCTGACATTAAGTGCCTACGTGCAAGATGAAATACAGACAAATTTCCTCCTTTTTTTCCCCCCCATTTATTTTTAAACAGATGCAGTGGATTTTATTTTATTATACAAGATCTGCAGAAAGAGAAAAAAAAACAAACATATTCCTCCAACCAAACTAAGAAAGAATTGTGTGTAAACTTGGAAAAACTTTTCTTGTTGCACTAAAAAGGATGGCAGAAAATATTTTTAAGAACCACATCAGGCCAACTCAAAGATGGTCACCCAGTTTGCAGCCGTGTTTTTGCAAAAAATGAATGACCATCAGCCCTCCCTCTCTTTTCTGTCAGTCCTCATAAACATCCTTCCTTCTCATTCTCCACTCAGCAGCATGGTGCCTCTGCAAAAAATCATTAATTAAAAACATTCCCCCAAAAAACCTGAAGGGAAAAAGCTAGTGAGTGGGTACAGGAGAAGGAAAAAACTAAGTCTAGAAGTTCATATATATATATATATATTTATGTATATATATATATACACTTATATTTATACGGTGTCCCGCTTCATCTTCCCCCTATGCTTATTTTTGTGTTAAAATCCAATTTCTTGTCTCCCACTTCCAGATCGGCAACAAAAAAAAGAAAAGGAAAAGAAGCCTCAAACTAAGAGGGAGACGATAAAAAAAAAAAAAAAAAAAAAAAAAAAAAAAAAAAAATCAACAGTCAGGAGGTGGTTGGTGCAGTTTATTTTGTGGTTGAGGGGAAATCCATCAGCTGCAGCAAAATCTATTTTTCCGAAGACATAGTGCCGGTGTAGAGCTGTAGAGGTGTCCAGGCGGGTGTTAAAAGTGATGAACACACACACACACAAGCACGCACACACGCAGTCTCTCACACACAAACTCACACGGTTGGTTACAGTCTGTGGTTATGGTGTTAAAGTAGGAAGGGAGGAAGGCGGAGCTGGAGCAGGAGGCAGGAGGAGGATGAGGAGGACAAAGAGGAAGGGCGGGCAGCTTTTTTTAGTTGTGGATCTTGATTGCTTTCTCCAGGTAGGTGTAGCGTCCTCTCTTTGGAGCTTTGTTGAAATGATCCAAGCCCAGCCAGGGGCGCGGGTGGGACATGTTACCTGGAGGAGAAACAGCGAGTTCAAAAGTCTCCGTACACGAAGAAAATAAATAAAGAAGCTCATGTGGTCGTTATATATATATATATATATATATATATATATATTAAATGTACATTAAGGTTGTGTGGCGTGATTGTTGAGTGTACAGAGAATTTATGGAAGTGGGCGCCCTCTGCTGGGCAAACTTAGTCATTACCCCACTGCACTTTGGTCCTGAATCATGAAATTAACATTTTTTAGCAAGTTGCTCCCGCTGCCTCGTTAGCGGCGTATGAATGTGTATGAATTAGGTTCATGACTTCTGATGGTCACTTCACATAGTAACCTCTGCAATAAGTGTGTGAATGCGTAGGTGTGACATGAGGTGTAAAAAGCGCTTTGGAGTAATCAGAAGACTAGAAAAGTGCTTTACAAGCCAAGTCCATTTACCATTTAGACTTTTACTACATTGTTATTGAATTTCTTCTCAACACATTTATACCTGCATTGAACTACCTGCAACAGGAGTTGACCCAAAGCACTTTGGAGTCAATTTGAAGCCCTTCTGGGCAGCTGTTATTGTTTATGAATGAGTTGAAATTAATTGCTACGACTTGAGCTAAAACACATCTTCCAGAAGGAAAAGTGAAGTCACTATGGCTGTCTTAGGTTATAATAAAAGTATTCTTTTAGTTGGTTAATGACAAAACAAAAATATGGTAAAACTGAAGATATTTTAGATTAAATATAATTTGTGTCTTACTTATGGCATCTTAATTTATCTTGTTTTAAGAGATATGTTGCTGTTACACTGTTGCTGTTTACACATTTATTCGAACAGCAGCAGTGTGTCAGCAGCAGCAGAAGCAGTAGACAAATACCTGGCTGTGGTTCAAAGTCCTTCAGGTTGACCTCGTACTCGTCTTCAGTTATGTACTGATGCCGTCCCATCATCACAATCGCAAACTTGAACTGAGGATAAACACAAAAAATACCCATTTGTTAAAAGTCTCATCTTAAGAACTAAGTGGATTGGTTATTTTAGCCAGAAGCTAAAAAAATGGTACATATCCATCAGAAGGTGTTGTACCTTCTCAAATTCTTTCTCCTGAATCTCCAACATGGTCTGGATCCTCCTCATCACCTCCCGAAATGACTCGCCCTGAGGTGGTTGTGTTGGGGTGTGAGATGAAAGATAGGAACAACCAGACAAACACAGAGAGTGAGAACAGAGAAATAAATGATGTAACCTGGACTGCAAACTCTCTCTTAACACACGGGTGATCAAAAGCATGCACACACACACACACACACACACACACACACCTGTCTGATCTTGAGCAGGAAGGGGATCCCGAAGGTGCCGAAGACTTCCTTGTGGAAGTGGGCGACAGGAATTAGCATTTCACTGTCTTTATCCAAGTCCACCTGGTCCAGAGGAATCTCCTGATAGGAAATATGCCAGAGAAGAGGTTTTGTCAAGACAGTTACTTTAGAGGAGGTATTGAAATGGTTGGGAAAAGGTTACCAACTTCAAAGCTTCTTTTACAGCGTTTACATTAAATGGAAACTTACTGACCCGCTACTCTTAATTTATACATTGCTCTTTTATTTGTAAAACTTTGAAGCTGACTCTAGTGGAGACGCACACAGATTAAATGTACTGTCTTTGACCTCTGCTTATGGCAATAAAACATTTTCTAGTATGATCTATTTTTGGTAGTCTCTGTCTGTTTAAGTGCAAGACACTCAAGAAGTGAAATCTTCTGGCTGACTAAGAAAGTCTGAACAAATGTTTTTGAAGGAGTGAGACACAGCAAGTGACGGCTGCCAAAGTGGCGGCTTGTGTAGAGAAACTTAACGGACTGCTGGTAAGTGGAGTAGCGGCAACACAGGAAAGGATTATAAAAAAAAAAATACACACACACATTGGCTCACACACTCACACTTACCTCTATTCTGAAGGTGCGGCTGGCAGCCGGAGATAAACATTCTAGCAGCTCGTCCTCCTGGTGAACTCCGATGATTTTATAGCTTACTATCTCTAACAGCCTACAGGGAGAGAGACAGAGAGCGGGAGGATTAATACCACACCCTGGCTCATCAAAGAAAAAGTCAAAACATTTTATTGAGCAGAAAATCACATTAAACAACAGATAACATGAATTAGTGAAGACAAAAATGTAACCCCACAGTTGATCCAGACTGCGTGTTCTCAAATGAGAAAAATCAGTGCGGGTCTTTGATTTGAACACCGCATGAGGGACCAAATGGCTTGTATTGCAACAAGACCATGATTTAAAGTACACAGTCGGGTATTTCAATCAAACAAGCACCTTGTAAATGTGAAACTGGTTATATAATGTCAAATAGATATCTTTTTTTTTAAATATAACTGTCAGTGACGGTGAGCTGAAATAATATTTGACATGGGAAAAGGATGAAATACACAATAAAAACAGTATAAAAAGAATTTTAGTTAATGATTAAGCCTGGTGATTTGCAGGTTATCGTGGGCGCTGGAGTCCGTCTCAGGGCGGAGGCCAAAAAAAAAAACACGCAGTACGGACTCTCTCCACGTTAACGGCACGCCCTTTCCGTCTGCTTTTAATTGCTCTACTCAGTCTGTTCACGATGTTAAATCAAATCTCAGCGGGTATAGAAGAAACACGATAGCATTCACACTCAGCAGTCCAGTTACTGAGACGAGAGAGATGGACTGTTTATTTCAAAACGCCTCATTTCTGAATGAGAGTGAAACCTGAAGCTGCAGATAGCTGGAGCTGTTACACACATGGCAGCAGCAAAAGCCGGGACAGCCGCGTGCTCCTGATTGTATGTCTTTGTTTACCTTGGCAGCGATGTTTTAATGTCAAATAAACAATTCGCATGACACACACATGCACATAAACACAAGGTGAATACCTGAGCTTCTCCGAGCCTTTTTCAGAGAGCTCCACTGCCTTTTTACATTCTTCCAAAAGGTCGCGAACACAGCCGTGCTTGTCAGGGTAGAGGGTGATCTCCTAAAACAAAAACATTGGCATGTTTGATTAGTGTGCTCCAATCACAGAGGCACACTCCATGTGTCACAGGAGAAATGGGATTCAGACTGACATGCATAGCGTGGTTGATAATGAGCGTGCGAGTGTGTTACCTCCTCTCTGAACTGGCTGTTGAGCCAAATGGATTTAAAACTCCTCCTGTTTTCAAAGTCTGTAATTTTCATCTTTAACTGTGGAGAGAAAAAAAAAGAGACAAGACATCAGACAAGTTGTTGTTACCCTGAGAGCTCCATCAGGAAGCTATCAATAATGGGATTTGATCAACACCAAACGGAGACTCAATGTCAAATGTGTCGAATCATATTAGGAGAATACAAAAAACAGAGTAAGTATAAATAAAAGGCTGAAAGTAGGACTTCAGCCAACTTCTATTTCAACATGATTAATGAACCTGCTAATTAAACTCTAAGCCCATCATTTAATCGCTTGGTCTTTAAAGAATTGTGAAAATGCACAAGTTAAAATCTATTAAATGGCTTCATTTATCATCCTGCTAAAATCTAAAACCAAGAAAAGAAGCAAATTCTTAAATTTGCCTAGCACCTTGTTGGTATCAACTTTTCTTTGCAGCTCTAATTAAAATACAAGGCTAGAATCTCAAGTATGGATAAGGGGGAAAAGGGAATGTTAAGATTGACCAAGTAAACAAAATCAGAAACAGAAAATTAAGAAGAATTATTTGAAAAGTTATTGTCATCTCATTGGCCCCATTGTGGATGTCTCAGAAAAACAAGCAATTTACTAAACACAACTAAAAGTTGCAGAACGTGCAAACGGCTCCTACCTGCTGGTAGTACAGTTTCTTGGGCTGCCGAGGTTTGAAGAATTGCAGCAGGTCCCGCAGCGTTCCCTCATAGTTGTGTCTGAGAGGATTCCCTGGACCGTCCCTGTACCTGGCCACCACACCACCAGGCAGGGGGGGAGGATGACACAAGGGAGGAAGAGAAGGGAGCCAGGAGAAGAGAGACAGAGAGGTTGGGGGGGGGGAAACAAAAGGAAGGAGGAGAGAAGAATGAGGTAGAGACGGGTAAACGGGAGCAGAAGAGAAAATTCAGAGGGATAAAGAGAATGAAGAAAGGAGGGAGGGAGAGAGGAGGGGAGGGAGGCAGAGTGGGAGGAGTTAGAGGAAAACAACAAAGAAAGGTGGGGGGGGACAGGTTACGCAACATTTCTACTGACAACTGAGTATCAAATCAGAAGCAATTTCAACACAAACAGAGAGATGTGTGCAAAGAAATGCACTTCTTGGGTTGCTTTTAACATAATCCATCATGTGAAATTCAACACGAGAGACTTCATCTGTTCATTTGTGTGTATGTGTACGTGTATGTTGGGAATGAGACAAGCCTCCTACCCCTGTGACTTGAAGAACTGCAGCAGCATGGGGTCTGTGTTCAACCTCTGCGCTACTGTCTTTGCCACCTGAGAAAATACACAACACAGTCAATTGAAGTGGAGATCATTGCATCCTGTCAGGGTTCATCTGTGTCTGTTAGCATTCAATTATTTTAAAGAATCAAAATAGTGCACCATTAGTCCGCCAAAATCTAAACATGTCTTCTTCACTTGTGTACCAGATGTTTTGGAATTTCAACTGATACATCAAAAGCTGTTTTCACACATGCACTCCTGAAAAGTGCCAGAACATTTCAGCAAGGCCGGATGCACCTGATGGGGCCGTACCTGAAAATAGTTCATGCGGTTAGAGAGCGTGACCACGAAACCGGGGTCATTGTGGATGGTCTTGTCACAGAAAATGACGTCCACGCGGTGGTAGAGGTCCCGGAAGTAGTCCTTGGCCGTCGGCAGCTCACTGCTGTCGTTCTCTGGGTCGTCCCTTTGTGATTTAAGGAAAACAGATTTATTGAGGTACAGAAAAAAAGAGTGTTGACAGGAGCAGACAAAAGACAAACCGAGGGAAGAGTAGACTGAGGTGTCGGCAGGGAAGTGAAGAAGCAGGATCCATAATGGGTGAGAATTATTTTGGGCTTTTATGCCTCTGTTTAGACAGGACAGTGGATAGAGCTGGAAACGGGGGAGAGAGAGTGGGGAATGACATGCAGGAAAGGAGCCACAGTCCACACTTGAACCTGAGCTGCCCACTTTGAGGACAACCTCCTCTGTACGTCGGGTACACAAACTTGCTGCTAAGCCAACGGATGAGTAACATCATGAAGAGTGTATAGAAATACAAGGACAGAGGGGAGCACTGAAGAGGCAATGAGTCTTACTTCTGGAAGACAATGATATCCCCGTCCATGAGCTCATCCAGGGCCTTGTCCAGAGAGACATCATAGTCCTGTATCCGCTCTGTTAAGTTGGGCTTTACTTCCTGCAACACACAAGGCAACATGGGATATGAAGTCAATGTGTAGCTGTCTGTTTAGTGCAGAAGAGTATTTTTTGGGGGGAATGTGAAAGAAATTCAAATCAACAGAAGGAGAAGTGTGAAGAAAAATAGAGATGCTGCATATGACAGGGTGAGAAGATGCAAACGTTAGTCTGCCAGAGAGAGAGAGTGTGAAGAGTCTGAAGAGATAGAAGGAGATAAAAAAAGAGAGAGGAATGTGCCTGTGAGTGAGTGTTGCATAAATAGATCACCTCATAGAGGATAAGGCTAGTTTCCTGCTGAAACCCTGCTCGCTCACACATGACTGGCAGCAGGTCTCCTGTTTACAGCAAGAAGAGAGCGTCAGACACATGATTTCACCTTTGCATGCATATTTACTGAACGCACAATCATTTTTCCCAGCCTGAAGTTTGCCACTACTTACTTATTTTGCAGGATATAGGTGTGTAGATATGTCCACAATAATTTAAGCTTCTGGTTTTGGGGTCATACATCTTCAAGAACAACATGACATCATCTGCAAAGAAGGAGACAAAGTCAGACCAAAGTTAGAGATAGTTTGTTACAGCGCCTCCTTTGGAGCAGTTACCCCAATCCTGATAATAAATGTTGTAATAAACCTAATGAACATTAAACCACTAAAACAATCTCTGTATTATTATCTGTCCTCAAAGTCCTTCATACAGATTGAGTCATTATTGATGATAACTTAATGATGATGGCCTTAGCACTGTGACATTATTTCACTCTATTAGCTTCAGTCAAAGTGTAAAAAAGCCTACTCACTGTTTCAACAATACCCTGAACTTTGTTTGATCACTACATGGTCACATTCGATTTCCAAATACCAGACGAAACTTTACAGTTGACAAAATGTATTCATGTGATGTTTGTCTGATAGCGCACCGGCTACATTTAAGGAAGAAAGTCCAGCTACTTTTATTTCAGTACCCATGTCTTCCTACAACAGATAGCTCTTGTGCTAACGATAGTACCTCTCAGCCTGATCAGTTTGTTGATAGCAGCAGGCTCACTGAGAATGACTCCTGATTACAATGACGATGAATGCAAGTCATTATCAACAGGCTTAGTACCGCAGTCATTTGAAATAGTTGTAATTAAACCTATTCCTAAATAGCAAACACTTGAGTCAGGCTTCTTAGCTAACTATAGGCCTATTCCTATCCTTCCCTTTATCACAAAAATCGTCCAGAAAGAAGTGGCTCATCAGTTATGTGACTTTCTTTAACAAAGATTTAATCGAGGATTTTCAGTGAACCATATCTCAGTTTATGAATCTTAATGATAAGTCTCATTAATTGCTTGGACCAATTCTTTTCACTCAATAAAGAATATCTTTCCTCTTGAAAAACGTGAGAGGTATGCTACGTACACTTCCATTGTTATGCAGATAATACTCAATTATACTTCAACCAATGCAGCCGGACAAAACCAATCAGTTATGTAAGCTAGTAGCAATGTGTCAGTGATATTAACACCTGGATGACAAGAAATATTCTGTTACTTAACTGAGACAAGACTCAAGTTTTTGTGCTTGGCCTAAAAACCTCAGACACATTTTCTAGTGATGTAACTGCCCCAGATGGCATCAGCCTGGCTTTCAGCACCACCGTAAGCAATCTGAGAGTTTTATTTGATTGGGATACATTCTTCAACTCCCACGTCCAACAAACTCCAAGGACATCCTTTTTTTTTTTTTTTTTAAACTTCACAACCAGCAACAAGTCAGGTGCATCACCTCATGGTTGGACCTTTTAAATGTCTTTTTATCAAGCTGTCTAAATGTCTTAGAATACATTTTACCCCAGCCTGCTGCCATGGACCTGCCTGACTCCAACAGCTAAAACTATTTATATCAGTTTTAATTCGATTATAATTCTTGATGTTAATCGTAAGTTGCTTGACATAAACTCCTAAAAAAATCACATGCTCCCCATATGATCAGCATTATATCTTGTTGATGCGTAAGTTAGACCAGTTAACTTCATCTTTTATTGTGTGTAATATGACATTTAGAGATGGGACCGGTTGGACTTACGGTCTTTGTCAAACTTGGGTAACGTGGCCCCGCTGGCTGCCATCTCTGGATCGACAGTCTCTAGAAATATTGTCCAGGGGTTCTCGCTGTCACTCAAGTCAATCATCTGGAGCACAAACATGCACAAAAATGTGTTTACATTTGAACAGGTTGGATCACACATGATTGAACACATTAACACAAACAAGGGCAGCTTAGAGAATCAGGGACTTTGACCTGATGAAGGTAATGTGGAAGTAAAGTTAAAACAAAGAAGCTATTATTAAATGACTCACTTCAGACAGTGATAATAGTAAAACAGTTACAGTTTGGAACGGTTTTAAAACTGTGCCGCAGTTAAAGGTGCCGACTAAGTACTACTTCATCTTTATGATGCTATAAAAAAAAATGACAAAACAAAGCACCTCAAATGATTGTAAGTAAAAACAGCAGAAGAAAATGTTTCAACAGTACCAGAAATACATACGCCACATGTTACACCCACAAACATGTCCTCTGGAGACAACCACTTACCGACTTGTTGCAGTCGGCCTCGTAGTCGAGCATGGCGGGTCGCTTGGTCCCATTGCTCCGGGCCTGCATGGGCCACAGCCTCATCTGGTCCTGTGGGAAACCCTGCAGTGCAAAAACAGGCGAGTTTAAGATTAATTGGCATCAAAGAAAAAAATGACATTTTAGCATAAAAAAAATTGAAAGTAGCAAGAGGACAAGAGAAAACCAAATTCACCAGATTAAAATAGACACGTTAAAAAAACGTTTAAAAAAAAAGGACAGGAACGGCAGGGTTCAGGACGATTTCAAACAATATTTCGAATTATTATTTAAGTATTTCCACCAGGTAATCCAGGCCACTGTTGTTCAATGGTAGGGCGAATTTATGAGTGTGTTTATACTTGTTTTTCTTCACACTGGCAACTGACTTTAAAGCTAACACATAACAGGCAAACAGGAAAATCAACAAGCCTTCTCTTTGCTGAGAGCAGTGACTTATATAAAAACAGAGAGTTGCTTAAAAGATTGGCAACATATAAAGTTTCATAGGGCATTTGATTGGGCACATAGTAAAATGTATTGGACCAAACTACTTCTAAAAAAATCTACTTTGATTATTTTATTAATAGCTAGATTCAAAAAGTCAAATAGAAGTAACTGTCCTGCAGCTGAGTTTGTCTGGAAGCTTTAAGGGTAACAAAACATCTGTGAACCAGGCTTCACACACACAAGCCCTTTTTCAGAGTATGATTACTGCCACCTCACTGCATAACGAAGCTGCTCTATCATTACGTCTTTGTACATTCATATTGATACAGCTAGAGCGTAATGACTGTGTCCTAGTCTGTGAATTCACAGTGCCTTACGGTGTTGCGGAAGCATAGTGGAAGTATAGAGAAACAGCGGGAAGGTGGTACAGAGGGGGAATCACTTTGTCCCTCATTTCACCTCCGTGACATTCACAGTGAAGGTAAAACATCAAAAGGGAGGTAATTATCCAACTTGGACGGTCAGTCAGAAAAGGGCTACCGACACAAATGTTTCTTCCTTACATACACACAAAGATACGCCTCTTACCATGGTCTGAGAGAGGTTCTGGACGAACTCCTGCAGCGTTGAGCTCTTCAAGACCTTGAAGACCGTGTACTTCACCTTCTCCTCGTCATACATGTCGTTGCCCTGATGACCACAGAACTGGTCCTCTGTCACCATCTGTGGAGAGGGAGAAGGCAGGAGGAATACAAATTTAGTGACTTTGAAAAATTGAAAAAAAAATCAAAACAATAGACAGTAGAATGAGCAGATCTATGTCCAAACTGTCGGCTGTATCATGTCATCTGGACAGTCACTGTCGTTACTCACTGAAGGAACATACGAGCCTTGTCGGGTTCTGTCTTAGTGGCACATTGTGTCCCTTTTAAAACAATATGAACTTTGTGGGTATTTTTTTCTAAGACAACTAAATTAAAATCCATTGTTAAAATTGATATATACAATGAGAAAAAAAGTTTCTTACACATTTACAGTCACCTTGGTGTTACCACATCATTCTCCTGATGAGATTTTTTTTCCCCCCATGTTGCTTTTCCAGAGTAAAGTATAAACCAAAATAAGCCATTTGTCCTGACTTAATACTTGTCCAAAGATGTTAGCTGCTCTGTCCTTTGGACAGCATAAAACTTTATCTCAAAACATGTTTAGTTCTAATTATAATACGCTTCTGCTCTCCACAATCTCATAGCAGACGCTTTTGTCCAAAGCGACTTACATCAGAGTGTAAGAACAACACAAGCAAGGATCTAGAGAGTCCTAGCACACTGTGATCTGAAGTGAAAAACCTGAATCATCATCTGCTGCTGAGTGAACTTAATTTCTCAGCCAGTAAGTGAAGTGCTCTGCTGTTGAGGAGTAGCAGGCTGTTTGAAAAACCCTCGACATATGAGCTAGAATGAGTAGGCCACGACCACGAGTCTACAAGGATAAAGCTGAAATCATATTTCTAATCATAAAATTTTTAATTTAAAATGTTAATAGACTGTGACACAGGTATCACTCACATAGGTTAAGACAATTCAACAGGTTTCCATTGTGAGGAGCTGATGTTAGCTTACGAGCAGCAGGGATGTTTAGTTTTGTTTCCTGACAGCTGAGTACAACACTCCACTTTCAAGAGGGCAATGAAATGCATTGACACATAATCATTTGTATTTATGATACCATGGTATTTATTTAATCCTGACTTTATAGACAACGTTCAAGTCTTTTAACCACATTTAAAACTTAACTCCTTTTAAAGACTTTGAAAACCCTGCAGGTTCCGAGTTAGAAGGCTGTACAGCCTGCACTACCTACTGGTGGAGGATTCACAGGCACCAGCAAGGATCTGAGCCAAGTTCCGTGGGCAAAAAACATCCCATCAGTTTTGATTCATTTGCCAAACACAGTTCATTGGTTGACCTTTATTTTGCATAGCTTCACATGCATCTTCTTTTTAGTTTTAATGTGGAATCTTTTTAGAAAAATACCTGGATTAATAGACTACAAGTAAAGAATGAAGTATGATGATCTTCAGTGCAGGTATAATCATGATGCTAGAGTAAGCAGTTTTGCACTCAGCCGACCAGCTTCAACAGCTTACAATTGTTGTTGTTTCCTACCTGGACCTGCATGTAGAGGTGAGCCTCTTGGCGCTCCTTCCTCTTCTGTGCCTCCACCCGTTTCTCCTCCTGCAGACGCTCCACCAGCTGCTGCGGGATGTCTACATCAGTCATTGGCTGGAGAACTTCACCTGGGGTACAAGGAGAGATGCAAGTAAGAACTGAAGCTGCATGCAAATTGTGCAGGCCTTAAACTTTGTGCAGTAGTCATTTAAAAGACCAACAAAGATTTAAATCAGCACTTAATGTTCACAGGTTTGAGAGAATGCAAGAAGGGGTTTAATCTTCTGTTTCTTTCGTTTAATACAGCAAAGTGTGGTACTCACTGAGCTTGGACTCTCGGATGTAGACCAACATGTATGCGTTGGTGCAGTGGCGCACTGACAGGTCATCATCATGTCCACCATAGTTGTGCTCTATGGCTTCCTCCTTGGTGCACCTTGAGACCACATCATCATCAAACTTGCACCACTAGAGAGAGTGTTGGAATGATGGAAAAGAGAGGGGTGGAGAGGAGGAGGAAGGTGTGGGAGAAAACCAAAAAGCACTTAAGACAACCATTTGTGTAATAGAAACAACTGTATTTATGTAGTTTTTATTAAAGAAATTATATATTGAGTGGCATATTGTCAATCTGTGATTTTGTCCCCCTTTTGAAGTCAGTGTTGGTTTGTGTCTCATAAACCCCAAGTCTGTGGGGCTGCACTGCAAATTTGCAGATTAAACATTTCTAATGAAAAAACACAGACAATACAAAGACTTAGCTTAAATAAAGTCATGTGCTTTGTCAGCAACAAAAGCTGTGTTGGTTGGTTTTTAGTCCACTACTGACAGGCAGAACTTATGCCGCTTAGTCACGATTCCAACACTGGCTTTGAATCCTCTGATCTTTAGATACGAGACATTTTCTAACACCAAGTAGCTTATGTTACTGCTTGTTGGTCAACTCAGAATCTGAGTGGGCAGCTCAGCAAATGATTCACCTAGTTGTAGCAACCCTCTATACTTCTGGAATAACTTATCAGACACTAGTTTCATCTTTGTCAAGTCGCTGATTCCAGCTTTTACATTATGTTCTCAAGGCCAAAATTAAAGTGCAATATACAGTTAATAGCTGTAGTAAGACTTTAAACGTTGGGTTATTACAGTGATTAAAGTTCTTAAAATACATGTAGCTATGTTATAATACTGTTTTTAATGATATAGTAGATTGCAGTTAGCCTCTAATCCGTTAAAAATGACTGACAGCCTTTAGATTTCTCTATCATTGTTAAATAAAACTCAATTGAAAACAGGAAATATCAGTTTAATGCAATCTCTTTTGAGGAGTCAATGGCTGGATAACCTAAGTGCTAAAAAAAAAAAAACCCTGGCAGTATTACCAAGAGACAGTGTTGACATTTAAGCTCATAGTGCAGAAACCCCAAATATGTCCACAGAATTTTGAGTGAAAGGTGTGTAAAAAAAAAATGTCCTCACTATTGGTTCCTTGACACTCACTTTGCCGTCTCCTTTTGGGTTAAGATAGACGACGTAGTGACCGCCATGGTTGTCCCCGCTGTGCACTAGAACTGCATGCAGGATGTAGTTGGCTGGATCCTTGGAGTCTGGCTTCTGGAGGAACTCATCCAGGGGTAACTGATCTGGAAACTCAAATCTAGTGAAGACAGGGGAGGGCAGCAGAGAGGATGGACAGATGGGGAACGATGGGGGGGGGGCAAAGTGTGAGAAGATTGAAAACAAGAATTAGAGATGAGGAAAGGAGAGATTTGAAAAAATAAAAAAGGACAAAAGGTTAAGACAGGGAGCAGGATAAGTGAAAAAGGAAAACATTGTGTGTGTGTGTGTGTGTGTGCGTGTAAATAAACAAAGCCTTCGGGGGGGCCAGGTGCTTGGTTTCGTCACAATTATGACTCACAGCTTGTTGAAACGCAACAGACAGAATAAGCTAGTCTGTAGGCAGTATGTGTGTGTGCTCCTCATGTGTCACATTATCCAGGAGGATTTTTAAACCAGCATTAGCTCTCACAAAGCATAACACACAATTATACAGCCAACAGGAAACACTCTCTGTGACTCACTTTCTCTCACTGCAGGAAGTCATGGTGTGCTGTTCACTGTCCTGTTTCTGGAAATAGCCTGATCTTTTAACCTAGGTTTATATAGACCAGACCTGTCACTAAAATTATGTCTGTGCACCAGCCACAGACGCATTGTGGGAGTGTGACAGTGACCTAATTCAAGCTTGGCAATATGTGTGTGTTGGAATATGGGCATGTAAGAAATATGTAATAAGAGGTGTGTGCGCGTGTTGAGCACTTCTGTTTGTTCTACCTGTCGTTGATCTTGATGTTTTGGTCAGTCTGTGGGTCATACATGAACCTCATCAGCTGCAGGTGAAGGATCGGAGGGAAGGTGAGGAACTTCACTCCCTTTTCTGCCTCCTGCAAACATAAAAACAAATATGTCAAAAAAGTCTTAACAATCCGTGCACAAGTTGTATTGCAAGTTTTGCGCAACTACTATTAAGCACCATAAAGTCCAAAATATAAGTTGCACTTATGTATGAAATGCAGTCTGTTTTTTGGGAGGGGGGGTCTCCCACAGACCCACTGTCGTCCTGTGTGATGACTTCCATAGTGTCCACAACATGACATTTCTGTGCAGCTCTTTAGTACCACCTTTTTTTGTTTTTTGGTATTTGCATTCCTACTAGCTGCAGTACAATACTGGAGTGCTCAGCCTTTGGGGAAAGTTGCAAAAGTACGGACCCACAGCCTGCGAGTCAAGATGCCCATCACTCGCTGATTTTAATCAAAAAGAGCACTCAATACACCAGTGTTAGGTTTAAATGTATGATTATGACCTCATGAGGGAGAAAAGATGTTTAAAAGTGGCACTGCCTGACTGGTCTGCGTCGCTATGTATCCTAACACAGTTTACAATTCACTTGTGAAAATTCAATTGGTCTCTTAATTTCTTCTGAAGCTGCATACTCAAGACGATCATGCTTCAAATGTTGACAGATTAGAAATAAAAGTTTGATTTGAATTACCTTGAATACCAGCTTCAATATAGAAAAATAATTCAAACATTAAAAAATATGTAGACAAAAATAAACTAGAATAAAGTCATATAAATCACATAAATCCAATCACTGTGCACTCTCACCTGCAGGCCATGCTCTCCTGCGTCGTATTTATTGTCTCCATCTAACTGCTCAGTTGCAACGTAGTCTTTGAATGACTCGAAGACTGGAAATAAGCAGAAAAAGATATCATCTATATAGGTCACTTTGAATAAAATAGCTGTCAACAGACAACAGTCACTCAAGCCAATGCCAGAGTGACAAATTAACAGTTAACATTACCGATTCATTCTAGAAACCAGGGATTAGTGTTGATGCGTCTACTCACTGTTCTTCTTTCCTTTTATGCTGAGCTGGATGTCATAGTAGTCCTCTATCCGCTCTGACCGGTAGTCCACATGCTTACACTGAATGTATGACTGGAGACAAACACACATGAAAGTCAGACTGTGTTTAGCTGCATTTTCACAATTCATCAGCAGCACATTTTATTAAGATGCCCAAATAACACCTCTTTCAATTTTGCAATGTTTCATTTGATATTCCATTCTCCTAACAGGTGATCTGCGTGTGGATGAAGTTAGGGTATGGCAATGATCCAATACTATTAAAACAACATCATACGGAAGGATAATCTTCAATAAGAGACGTCAAAACTCTGGGTTACAGGAGGGATGTACAGTAGACATATCTGTCTATCTCAATGATCGCCTGCAGAGCATGTGTCAAAAATGGCAAAGGGCAAGGGGAGACTGTCCATTAGTGTTTGGATCGAGGGATATCTTATACATATAAAAAGGACAAATGCTTAAATAATTGACAATCCTACTTAGGCAGCATTGCCCACTGACTTCTCCAGGTTTTTCATGACCATACAAAATCGGAGTTATTTTACTGTTCCACATGTGACTCTAGAATGACCATCTGTGTTAACATGAGAACATCTACACAAAGTAATTGCAAACGTAAAGACGAGCAAGAAAGGAGGGGGACGAGAAAAAAAAAAAAAAAACATACCACCATCTTTCCTCTGAAGAGCTTAGGGATTGTTCCCTCAACACAAGTGCCTTTCATTTTGTTCTCCACATTGTCCAGGAGCTGGAAGACAAACACACAAGGTCAGTAATGATTCAGCATTCATACGCACTCAACATTTCGTCAAGACAGGATGAGAGAACTCACCACTCTGCACAGCTCCTGTACGTCATGTTGCATGAAGCTATCAAGTGTTTCCCACCTTCAAAAAAAAAAAGGAGAAATAAACATGAGGTCAGTTAGATAGAAAAAAAAAATCACAGATCAGGACAAATGGATGACTGGTTACTATTTTAAATAGTGGCTGAAAAAAACGTCTAAAATCTGTTATTTTAATTTAAATCAAAGCACAAATCAGGTTATAAGAGTGGCACATATTTCAGTGTTTTCCTGACCCTCAGTGACAACCATATGTAACATTTTTGAATCAGTGCCTCGATCTTTCTGAAGTTCTGTTCAGGTAATCTTGATTTCTCCCACTCCTGCAATCTTTTGAGCCAAATGTAACACCCCCATCACTGAACCTTCCAGACTCAATGCTAGTTTAACTTCTCATTCCACCCTGCTTTTGTTCGCCCCAAAACAGAGGACAGGTGAGCTGTAAATATAAAAAAGAAAAGAAAAATCACTCTACCCAAAGGACTTGGTGAGTTTCTTTGTGCCGACGGGTTTGTCGCTGTGTTGCAGCTCGTAGAAAACCCTCTGCAGTGCAAGAGGAACGCTCTTGGACGAGTCGTCTCCCTCTGTGGGCATCATGTACACCGCCTGGGAAGAGAGAGAGGAGTGTTCACACCAGGATTAGAAAACTCAGAAAAACACACAGATTGAGGGTTTGATTCAGGTTAGACTCTTTGTAAAACATAAACATTTATAGGGAATAAATGCCATGGACCTCACTGTTATTGTCTAGTTTGACTGTAAGTCACAAGTTGAAAGGTAATAAATTCCATGAATCTAAGGCATTCATTTAACCTTCCATATGAACAATATTTTTTTGACACAATTCTCAATCTTGTGTCTGCCAAACAACATCTGATAGACACCAATTTTTAACATTAAACCCCTTCATTCTCTGTTTTTAACGGTTTGAAGGAGCTTACCTGATTATTATGATCAGTAAGACACCTACAGTATGTGTATGAATCTTGTTGGGAACACTGAAGGAATCCCAACCCAGCTGAGATAACAGTGAAGCCCCTCTCACAGCCCCCTCTTTTCAACGTAAATCTGATCAAATCTACACTCGCTCTGCTAGCACTTCCCTGTCGTTGCCCTAATCATCACAGGGTTAATTGCCTGATATTAGTTCAACAGTAGCAGTGAAAATAATTCATGGTGGCGACAAACAACTGAACCGACTCTGGCTGCACTAGAGCTCACTGATGTAAGGTGGAAAGAAAAATTGATTCCCCTTAAAACAATTGGAATTTTTTTCCCCAGAATCGGCCCATGGAATAGCGCAATACTAGAACCTGACGTTGCTTTCAAGACAGTATGGAGGATGTTTTTACGCTGATACAGGTATGCAGATAAGGCCAGCATAAACACATCTTTATCTGTTCTTGAGCCAATGCACCTAACTGACTTGTAGATTACTCAGAGAAAAACTCAGCTAATATAAACACAAAAACACGGAGGCATAAAAGTTTACCCGCCGCAGCTGGTTGGTGAAGAAGAGCGTCTGTAGCAGACTGTTCATGTAGCATGTAGCTCCCTGGTTCTTGAGACCAACGTAGCCGGTGTGTTTCTTAGAGTCCCAGCTGGTAACAAGAGAGAAAGCAAATTTTAGCTACAAAGTTCATAAAACTACAAAAATGTAGACCCTTGTAGAAAACAGAACCAGGACAAAAAAAAAAAAGAACCCAGAGGAGAATTAGGAAGTACGTACGCCACTCCGTGTGGAGCATCTGCCTGAACGTAGACTTCAAAGGTGACTTTGTCATCATCAACGAAGCCTCTCTCTGGATCAGTCACATCCTGAAACAAACATCCAAATCAGTCAGTAGACGTAATACACTGAGGTTCAAATAAATAATGTGCTATTTTTGTGTCTACTCTTTGGGCCTCTGTAACAAAAAAAAAAACAATCTCTCTTGTGTGGGTTCTTAAACCAGCAGTAAAATGTTTCTCACTATCCATCCTGTCAGTTTTGGTACTTACACTCCAGGACATGAAGTTTGAGAAGCCCCAGTCGTTCTCTTTGTGGAAGAACAGGTGACTGATCCTGCGGCTGAAGGACTTCTCGTCATCTTTGTAGTTGATGATCTTGAGCATGGCTTGTGCGTGGCATGACCATGACCTGAAAGACAGTAATCCAGAGATCAGATATGGAGTACACACCTTTTAGATTGCACTCTTGATTATGTTGTCAACATTTTTTTTTAAACAAAGGATTTGTGCAGATATGACAGATAAATGAGCTTTTAGACTTATCTGGGAGGTACAGCAAGTTTTTTGTTATTTAACCAAAATAACCTCATGACTGTAATTCAAATAATCAAAAACCAGGTAAATAAAAAGTACCAATCAGTAGTCGACCAAACTGATCAGAGTTCATTTATGTCGAACACAAAAAAAAGAAGCAGTGAGTGTAAAGGACATTTGGGAAGGAGAAGCCTAGATGCTAATTAAAGTTGAGGTAATGTTTGAATATCATGTCTAATATTACTCTTCTAAATTAGGCTTAATCAAGTTCTTAGCAATTATCCTTTTACAACACTTTCACTAGCAAGTGAAATATCGCAGTCATATAGTATTGAGGTGCAATATAAGTTGGGCAATAGAATCACCGTTGTCACTTAATGGAGCTTCCTTAAAGGGAGTCTGAATGTGACCTTTATCCACTTTATAATACTCTTCATGTTTAAGTATTTCTCTAATATTTGTGTCGTCAGACGCCACACAGAAACAAACCATGCACATTATGCAGTGTGGTGGTGGTGATAGCAGACTCATGCTGAGGGGATGCTAAACAAATGATGGCAGACTTGCTGCTTAAAATTGAATGAAAGTTATGGAGGACTGCTACGTGAGCTGTACCTAATGTGCATATGAGATTGATTCATATGGACATGAAAGAGTAATAAAAAAGTAACGTTCTGTCAACTGTGACTCAATGTCATAAAACTCAGAAAAGTGTGTGGGAGGGAAGCCAGTTTTTTTCTGCATGTTATGAACTAAAAGTTTAACTTCAAACATGTTCATTCAAGGAAGAAAAATCTGTCAGTTAGAAATTGAGGATGGAGATAATAACTGTAAAATAATTGTTTGTTATTATAGAGGCGTTTTTTCAGTATTAGATATCACTGTTTATGTCCGTGTGCCATATCAGGACCACAAATACAAAAGCTAAGTAAAAGGTTTGCACGAGTGTGTCTCCCCCTGTCCCAACGAGAAACCTACGTTGAATCGGACTCTGCGTTACACTGCAGGAAGAAGCCCACGCTCTTCTGGTGTGGCCGGTCCGGATAGAAGCGCGGCATCACCATGATCTTCCATGGGAGGTTTCGGACAAAGCAGGACGGGCTGAGCACCGACTCACTCAGGCGGCTGAAGCGCTCCACCACAAAACGGAATGTGGCCTCTGAACGCCAACTGGTGTCTGTGGATAGGAGATGGGATGCTAGTTAGATTCTAAATGGATAGTAGGTTTCCTCCAAGTTCACCTCACAAGACTCACTGATTATTATTATTTATTAAAGTGCACATCCTACTCACCATCCTCCATGTCCTCTTCTGTGTTGTTGTGTCCGTCTGCCATAGCCACGTTACCATTGATCACTGGGTTGGCTGGGATTCTTGGAGGGTCGTCTGTGTCCCCAGCTGCACAAAGAAGAAAACGATATGACAAGACTGTATGGACAATAGGGGTGCTACCTCTTCCACTGGTAGGAAGCATATTAACGCTGCATGCTTTTAGTAGGTCAGAGACAGTGGGTCAACTTTGTCAAGTATCAGGGATAAGGAAAAATAAACAGCTTCCTTTCATTAATCTGAGTCATGTGAATTTATCAAGATGACCTGGCACAAACTACAAGTGGTGCCCATAACGGACACCGCTAAATTTGCATCAAATGTCTGTTGAAACACTTTATCTCCATTCAATTTAAATAAACAAATCGCTTCAACTCAACTTTTTTCCAAACAAGGTTGTCAAAATTGTCATCTTTGGATACCAATTGTTTTAAAACAATACAACGATACAATCTCTGCGTGTCTCTCAATCTCTCTATTTTAACAGTTGATAGTGTCTAAAAAGAACCAAAGCTTTAAAAACATTATACATCTTCAGTTATATGTTTAACCAAAAGCTAACACAAGCTGTTCAAAATGGGAAATCAGACATTTCTGCTTCTTTTCAGACTATCAAGACATTATCAAGAAATTATCTTCATGGTATTGTTTAATTTTGCTAGGATCGTATAAAAGTTTCAAAATCAGGTATAATAACATTACTTCCAGAACTTTTGCTCAAGCAGACTGATTCACTGAGGAAATTAAAGTATGAAGGCAGATAAAGCTTTTAAGAAATGAATGTATTAATCCTTTGAAGAGCAGGACTGACTAATAATCTGATAACCATTCTAATGGTTACAGGCATAAAAACAACAAGACTACATCATTTGCAAGTAATGCAGCAGCAGTCTCCCATAGATCTTTTTTTGTGGGAAAACCCTGCTGAGGCAGCATGACAAGTCTTCTTTCCCAGACTGACTGTCAGGTTGAGGACCACAGGGAGAGAATGTGAGTGCATGCACGTGTGTGTTAGTGTATCGCACATCGTGCAACATTACAGTAGGCTGGGTAATTATGGACACACAATACAGGATTAAGCTGCAAGTCATCAGTACAAAAACAAACGCACAGGCAGAACAAAAATCATCCTAGTCGCATAATGAGCCAGCTCACTGCACCGTCTCATCTATTGAAACGCATTGATAACAGAACCAGAGGAGCTTTGAATAGACTTCAAGGACTGAGTGAAATCTGCTTGTGCCCTGTGATGAAGACAATGATGCTGCAGAAGCGAGCCTTGACAAAAAACACTGTGGAATGTCTGCAAACGTGTTCCTCTGTCTCTCACGCTGTATCAGTGTGTGCCTTTGCAGGTAACTTTATCGACACAGTCCTCTGGGACACTGACCTCGTTTCCCCAAGTGGATTACACCCTGCTAATGGGGTCTGTCATTCAACTCCATGACAACTTCCTGTCCCGCCTACTGTATCCACCTATTCTGAAACCTCTGAGAAGTCCACTCCGATGGATAACATTTGAAAAACCTGCACAAGCTTTAAACAGACATTTTTCTATGGTAGAGGGAAACTCTTGAACTTCAGCCACAAGTCGGTGCTTTCAGAGGAGGACCTTAGACATTTAAAATAATTCAGTGGACTCCTCTCAGCCTCTAAAGAAAGTACTGGAGCACTTTATTATATTATATTAAACAAAATTATTTAAACGCTAAGTAGACCAGTATGTCAATTTAAACTGCACTGGTGTTTAATGGGCAAAACAACTAGCATCTTAAAAAACCAATTACAAGCAAATACTTGCTTTGGTGGCACTTATCCAAAAACTGTTTGTAAACTGCACCAAACATCCTTCATATTAAGGGACAAGTGCCAAAAAAGTACTTCAATCTTACCATGTTTCCCCACAGCATTGGAAATTGTATCATTTGAGAAAAAGCACAATGTTTGCTTCTGATCCCATTCCACAAGTTCCTATATAACTGGAGCCCATACAGGCATAAAAATGATTGTGTTGCAGCAAATGCTCAACATCCAATTCAATTATTTAGGATAAAACAAGTGCAATGTACAGAGCAGGTGTTGGATAAATGCAACTGTTCTTAACCTGATATTGTAAAAGAAAATGACTATCCAGTAGTAGCCATTAAAATGTTAAGACCTATCGTCAACTTGTTTTCACTGTCCCTGTAAGGATGCAGTGCACTGGTGATGATGTCTGAGGAGAGCACTTGCTTCCAGTAGGTCCAGTATACAAATGAATGGCAAAAAATAGAAATGCCATCCTGGAAGTTTCTGAATGCGTTTGTCATAATGTAAAAAAAAAACACAATAGCATGGTGCAGTGTTGTATTAAGAAAAGTGTATGTTAGAAAATAATAATAAAATCACCCGTGATAAATGACGCAGTGATGCTGAGGGCTCCCTCAAGCCAATACTCTGTCCAAAGTTGACATTAGTAATAAAATTGATGAAGGGCGGTTAATTCTACGTGAGAAGAGCTTAAAACTGAAAGAGAGGTGGGCCCCTGTCTCAAAAATCTGCCAAACAAAAACACAGATCATTAAAAATGGCGAGCTCCATGCCGTTTTGGTCCTCCATACAATGAAGCAGCAAATCCCCCCGCGCTGCCTCCGTGCAGGCCCGGCTTACCGCAGCGGCGACCAGCAGCGCGGACACGTATCATGGGGACACGGCGGCTAAATCAGTTGCAAGAACAACTTAACCCAAAAGCAGAAACTCAAATTTTTAAACTGACAACCTCGTCTAACAGAACGACGGAACCTGTAACAACACGAGTCAATTTAGCAAATCACGACTGACGCATCTGCGTTAGCGTTAGCCACCTAGCTCTCCAGCGAGCACTCGCAACACATCTACAGGCCCGTTACTGGCTTAACATTAGCTGGAATCACTAGTACCGGCTATCAATATGGAGAAAATACAAGATGAGAAATACCGCCTAGGATTATACACATTACATAGTAAAATAAATATTTAAATAACTGAGAAAAAAAATCCAAATTACGTGAGGTAGATATTCAAGGCCTAACATTCGAGCAAAAGCCAAATCGACCGATGCAAAATACAAGCCGCCATTTTGGATCGCCACACACCCCCTCCGTGAGCTGTAGCCGAGGAGCTAAGTAGCATGCTAGCTGGAACATTACCGTCTAAAAGTGCGACTGGATGTTGTTCCACTAGCTTGAAATTAGCTATCCCGCTACGTTTTTCCCCCCCAGCAATATGAATGCACATGTTGTATCATTAAGTATCATGTTTTGTTTTTTTCCTACAAAAAAAAAAAAAAACACCCATTAAAATTAAATGACTTCTCGATTTTAACCAATATTAGTTGTGCAGGCCTGTATTTGATGCACAAGACACGATGCTAACCCACATTGTTTTTGAAGTCTGGTATTAGTCTTTTTAAAATTACAAAATTTCAACCTCATGGACCAAAGACGAGCAAAGAAAGTCACTATTTATTAAAAAGGCTGACTTTTGACAAGGGACACACCTGTCAAAATAGGTCCAATGCGCACGAAACACCTCGCATTATCAGTATGTCAATCAGGTTGTCATCAGCTGGATGTTTTCTTACAGGGCTGCTTCTTTTTAAGTATTTGTCCTTTATTCTGGTGTTCAGTCCTTTTTATTGTAAAAAAATGGCTTCCCATTGAAGTGCTTTATTTACCTGGCGAAGTTCCACGGAAAATGCAGGACCCTGAACTAACATGTAGTTTATTAAAAAACAACAACAACATGCATTTGGTTTAATGACTGCAAAATAAAAAACTGAGATGTGGAAAATGCATCCTATTTGTTGGTACATCACGACAGCTTGTTTTGAAATATTATGACAGGAGTGAATGCACGTTTTGTGTGGCTAATTTCCAACATTGTGGATGATGGGCCAGTTGTTTTTTTTTTTCTTTGGTTATCCCAATGTAAAAATGCAACTTTGCAGACATACGGTGGAAAATACCAGCTCTACTGGCTTATAACGCAAAATGAGGTCAGCTCCACACAAGTATGCTGCAACGGACGCACAATCAGCAAAAAAAAAAAAAAATGCAGCCGGCTATCCTGGCTAGCTTTTGGGGCCTTCATGTTTACTGTAAAGTTGAGCTCAGCCTGACCATGTGAAGTTTTTTTGTTTTTGCATTTCTCGTGCAAACTACGAGGCAAGGGGTTTGCGGAAAGTTCCAGTTCACACTTCTGGAAAAAAAAACGTCTTCTTACCTTCCATCTCCATGTCCTCTGGTTCACTGAGCTGCTGCTCACCGGCTTTCTGCTGCTGCTGCTGTTGCTGCTGCGTGTGGTGATGGTGGTGGTTCATGTTCGCAGTAGTTGTTGTGGTGGTGATGGTGGAGGTGGTGGTGGTGGTGGTGATGCGGGGCTCCTTGCTATCGGGGTTTCCCTCGACCTTGTCCAGGGTCGCTTCGGTTGGGACCCGGATTCCGGACTGCTGCTGAGGTGTAGTAGTAGGATGCTGAGGCGGGGTGGACAGGTCGAGCCTCGGCGGCCGGGCCTGCTCTGCTGCTGCTGCTGCGGCGGCGGCGACCTCGGCCTTGTCCGCTGTCAGCGCCGGGGATTGAGGAGGGGAGGTCGGCGGGGGAGCGGGTAGAGAAACGCGGACGTATTTACTCGCTATTCGCCCAATCTCGGCGCCGTTAGTGGGTGCGAGTCGCTGTCTTGACTGCGGGGTGTGTGTGTCTGTGTGTGTGTGTGTGTGTGTGTGTGTGTGAAGGGGGGGGGGTGTATGGACTAAAGGGAAGGGGGGGGCGCTGAAATTTACTGAATCAACCCCGGGAAATGTGAGGGTAACGGTGGAAATAAGACAACGCGCAGCACGGTGCACCTTCAGGAACAAAAAAAAAAAAAAACCCCACACCGTGTTTATAGCTAACGTTAGCGCGTTCAGCTACCTGACACTGGGCAGCCAACTGGTCCGTATAGGAACAACAACAATGAAAACAAAAGGCTCATTTGATATTGACACACGTTCAACAACTTTGCCTACGATATCCCCAGTCCGTGTGCTCCTCCGATTGTCCCTCGTCTGGGGGAGAGCGGAGGAAAAAGCTATCCATTCAAAGCCTGTTTCCAATACGGAACAGAAGCTAACGTTGCTTTTGGGAAGTTCGCGGAGATAAAGAGTCGCCCACGGAACCAAACGCAACAAAAAAAAACAATTTCCCCACTAACACGACAAACGACAGTGTGTTGCACCGTGTTGCATTTCCTGGCTAATCTCTTGTTTGTTTTTTTCTCTCTCTCTCTCTCTCACGAAGAAGCTGAAGGTGGGCCCCGGTCGCGCACAAAACGTTAAGCCCGAGCCGTGTAGCTCCTCCGGTTAACGGCTTGAGATGTGCTCAGTCTGAAGTAAATCTCAAAATGGCGGTCGCGCTCTTCTCTGAAATGTCACATCCGCATGGAGATCCAAACACTGGCCCATCCCCGACTAGGTTCAGGTCCGTGTTAAAAAAAAAATGATACGGATCGTGCAAGTGCACCATGATATAGCGGAATTAAAAATAATTAATTAAGCAATATTTGGGGGTGGGGGGTGTAATATTATGGAAGAAAGGCATTATGGTGGTTGCATTAAAGGCCTCAATCACCATCACTGTAATGGGGGAAGAAAATCACTGTCTGACTAAACTAACCTTCTGAACTTTGTAAATGTGTCAACTCATTTGATTTTATTTCCAAATACAGAATACGTTTTCAATAAAACAATTTAAAAAAACAACAACATTTGACCTCTTTCCTGAGTTAAGTATGGCAGTTGCTTATGGGTTGAAAGAAAACATATGAGCTCAAATTCAGTGTAAAACCGTGAGGCTTCTTTAAACCGAATATCACAAATTATATAAATAGGCTTAGTAAATTTATATATTTACAGTGGGTAGCGTTCAGCTTTCAAAGTGGGTTAATTTAACTGAAAATGAGGCTAATTTAGAATTTCTTATTCAATTTCATAGGCCTATTTATATTTACAACAACATATCCTATGTTTAGATCAATCCGTTGATGGCAGTCATAAATATTTTGAAGTTAATTTGAATAGGCCATTGCCAGTTTCCTTCCATATAATCTCATGACTACAATTGGTGTTTTGTTGCGAAACAAATGAAAATGAAATAAAGCAAAAGTAGCAAGAACTTAAATAATACAATTTAAGAAGCAATTACAATTAGATAAAATATCATTTAAAAATGTAAAAACACAAAATTTACAAAATGTGCAATGGAGGAGCTGTGCAGTTGACAATGAAAAGGGTTGCAGATGGGACTTGGGTTGGGAACCGGAGGGTCGCCGGTTCAAGTCCCGGTGCGGACCAAATATGGAAGTTGGTCTGGTAGCTGGAGAGGTGCCAGATCGCTTCCTGAGCAAGGCACCAAACTCCCTCCCCACCACCAGGAGCGCCTGCCGGGGGCGGCTCCGTCACTCTGACATCTCTCCATTAGTGCATGTCCATAGGATCCTGTTTGTGCATGTGTATATTTCAGCCTATGTGTGTGTTGCATGACTTACAGAGTGTAAAAACAGAATTTCCCTTTGCGGGATCAATAAAGTAAATCTTAATCTTAAAACATCTTACAGGGTTCTCTACTCAGAGAGTGCATGTAAACAAAATACATTTAAAGTCCAGAGAGCATTAATCTAACGCATAAAATCAGTTTCAGCCTTCACATTACTGTGCTATTCTCTGACTGTGGGACTGGATGTGACTCTGCGTGGCTAAATAGTTAATAGCTCCCTATCCTCTGGCTGTGTCCCAGAATTCTTGAAAACTGCCACAGCTTATTAAAAAACCCATTGTTGATCCATCAGAATGCAGTAACTATAGACCAATTCCATAATTACATTTTTTTGCAAAAATCCTTGAAAAACTATCTCAGTGCAACTCCTCAAAGTACTGGAAAATAATGACATTTATGAAAAGTTCCGGTCTGGTTTCAGACAAAAAGTAGTTGCCTACTGAGACTGTGCTTATTAGAGTAATAAATGATCTTTAAAGAATTGCTAATACTGCCGAATGCTTTATCCTTGTGCTGCTGGAGCATTTGTTACAGTCGACCATAAAAAATCTGAATGAGAGGCAGCAGCACTGGGTTGGTACATCTGGAACAACTCTGACATGTGGTTTTACCTACTTATCTAATCTATTCTGTTTCATGTGTATTTTGTATGACCTTACTTGTCTGTGCTGCTGCAACGCCCGAATCCCCCCTCTGGGGATCAATAAAGTACTATCCTATCCTATCCTACTCATCCTCAACAGGTTGAACATGTTTTGTTGTCTATTGATGATCCTGCGTCCCTCACTCTACAGTGAATTGTGGAGTCCCTCAAAGATCAATACTGGGACCAATTTTATTCTGCTTCTATGCTCCCTCTTGGCCGCATTATACAAAGACACAATATTCAGTTTCACTGATGACACAGAGCTATATCCCCCAGTCAAACAAAGGGCTTCTCCACTCCTCTCGCGTCTCTGAATTTAATTTTACTCTAATTTTTTACAGACATTAAAAATGAATGTCGGCAAATATTCTCAAATTAACCCTTGTAAAACTAAGATTTTAGTAATTGGTCCTGATAGGTTTGCACCCTGACATCCAGTTCTCCTTTGGTCCACATCTTTTAATGTGAAGCAATGTGTCATGAGGCTAGGTATGACCTTTGACAGCAAACTGAATCGTGGTAAACACACAAACCAAGTCGTCCAGTCTTATTTAACAACCTCAGGAATATTGCAATATTTAACGACACACAAACAAGCATTTATGCTTTGACCTCTTCACAATAAGACTATTGTACTGGTCTTTAAACAGGTTAACAAGAACTTCAGTCGTATCCAAATTGCGCAAAATTCAGCATGATGTGTTTCTTTAGTAGTTGTTGCCATTTTCATGACATATCTGAGTTTATCCGTTTGGCGCAAAATAAATCAATATTTTGGTAATGCAATAGCAAGCAAATTCTACTTCTACTTAGGCTACTTAAAAATGTTCACTTTATTTACGAGCGAAAGAACTTAAAGTTTCTATATTTTTGGGTTGCAAGAACTTCTGTATCCAATCATGAATTAGCGTTAATTAAGTGTCAGTGGCGGTTCTAGACCACTTTTAGTAAGGGGGCCAAACTGGGGCCAGTTGTTTTGTCAGAGAGGACATCAAACCCAGGTGAAAAATAGACAAAGATGATCTCTAGATTGTGAGTCCGGTTGTTGAGTCAAATACCAGTGAGTTATTAGGGGGGCTCTTCCTTTTGGAGGGGTGGCCGCCGGGGGGTCCAAGATCAGTGTTACAGGGGCACTGGCCCCTGTTGGCCCCTGCCTAGATCCGCCCATGCTAAGTGTCACCGTTTCCGCAGTGATAAATCCTGGCCTCAAGGAAGAAACAGGAAAGTTTTGAGAGATTTGAGAAAATGGCACCATCCAGTGGCGAAAACATAGAAACAAAAGACAGCGCTAGAGTGATATAAATGCCTTCACAGATGAGCTTTTTACGCCTGTTTCATTATCAATCAACAACAATGTTTTGTCTTTGACTATATAGTCATGTTAGTCCATTTACATCTAGCATTTATGCTTTGATCTCTTCACAATAAGACTATTGTACTGGTCTTTAAACAGGTTAACAAGAACTTAATCAGTCGTATCCAAATTGCGCAAAATTCAGCATGATGTGTTTCTTTAGTAGTTGTTGCCATTTTCATGACATATCTGAGTTTATCCGTTTGGCTGTAATTATAATTTAATTATAATTTCGTCCAAAGGTTTTTTTTTAATATATGAAATATAATTTTATATTATATTATATTACTAGTTGTTTTGTTTTTTGTTGTTATCACGAAGCAGGTTTTATTTTATGACAATAATTGTACTCTCTTGCAAGCTTAACTGACAGAATTGTGAGTGTTGCTCGTTTGTGTCAACACGGTGACGGACTTCTCGCGCAGCCAATCACGTGTCGAACAAAAGCTCTAAAGCCCGCCCTGCAGTGGCCCCAACGCGCCTATAACACGCTTAAACGCGATGTAACGGGCGGACTTAAACGCACAGCAGGGTAGTCTGCGATATATATATATACACACACGGACGTCGCCAAGTAGGAAAAAAAAAACAGTTAGCGAAGCTCATCTGCCACATATGGTGTAAAAAAGAGGGGAGCTATGTTACGGCTTGGAGTGCGAAATAAAACAACGCGAACTGTACTCATGGGTTTTTCGCACATACTTTGTTAAATATATAATCCTTTTATAAATATTAACACACTTATAAGCGCATTTTTTTTTTTAAAGCGGGTGGGGGGGGGTTTTAGTGCACTCAATGGAGGAGAAGAAGGAAGACGGAGACTCGGAGATACAGGAACACGGACCCGAACACTGGTTCTCAAAATGGGAGCGGCAGTGTTTGGCCGAAGCGGAGCAGAGGGAGCCGAGCGAGGAGGAGGCCGACAACGACCAGGATAAACTGTGGCACCTTTTCCAGAACTCCGCCACAGCTGTAGCACAGTTATACAAAGGTTCATACCAGCACCTTCTATATATATATATATACACACACACATGTATATATATATCACTGTTTACCCGGCTGTACGTTACCAGTGTGTGTTTGTCATCAACCTGCCTTCTTATCGATCTACTAACGTTGTCGGTGGAATCAGCAGGATGCTAACTAGCCTTAGCAACCGGGACTCTGGGGTAACGTTTACAGCTGATTTTGCAGAGCTAAATTTAGCAACCTTGTGGGCATCCAGCGACACACTTACGAGCTTAAATCGTTTATAGTTAACCCCTTCTTCAGTAATAATCACTTGTGTGTATATTAAATGGCGTTTTTGTGTGTTTTTTTTCAGTAAGTTAAATGTGTCTTCACACGCAAGCTTGTTGACATGAAGTTGGGACAGTAGGTGATTGCTAACGGTTAGCAAAGGGCTAGTTACAAAATGGCGATGGTAACAACAATCGTAGCTACGCGACATTCCCCCCCAGATGACAAGTCTCTTTTTTTTTTTTTTTTGTAAACTGTCATCTGTTATACCGGGTTTGAAATGTGCAATCAACACGTTGACGTGTACACTAATAAATAATAAAAAAATAAGAACCCCCCCCCCAGTCTGCTGCTGCTGCTGCTGCTGACTGAGCAGATTGTAAGGCAAAGAGAGGCAAAGCGTTATTATCACAAAATGGCGAGGATAGTGGAAAAATAGTGGTATGTCAGCAGTCTGCAATGATGCTTTAGTTTTCAGACTACATAAGTAAACACGCAAATTGACAGAGCTGGACTTTAACGCTTCATTTTTTTTTGGTTATTGCATGTTTTAAAATGGCTTTGCAACTTTTACTGCTGAGAGGGGCAGTTAAGAAGTTTTGGTTTTTTTTTTT